CTTAGCGCCGGCGGTACGGGGCGGAGGGGCGTGGGACGCGGGTTGAACGCGGAACGCCCCAGGGGTGCGGGCCCCGTAGCTTCCCTGTGCCTGCCCTGTCTTTTTAGCAGCCTAAGGGACGTGTTCCCTTGTGTTTCGACTGGGCAGTTAATAAAGGCGAAGTGGAATGTCTGATCAAGCTGTTCGACACGCTGGTGGCCGAGTCCAGCAGCCGCTTTGCTGCAGCTGGCTTTGACCGTAACATGTTCAGAGACACCCTGCACAGCGCGTTCGGCATGACGGATGACATGATCATGGACAGAGGTGAGACTGATGGGTCTGAAAAGATTTAAGGTTTTAGTTTTACGCTGTTGACCTGATGAGCACGCCTAGGCAAAATAGGGCCGTCTCATCCCGGTAAGGACAGCGAAGGGAGGGTTACGCTCGGGAGCTGCTGAGTACGGGGTTGGGGTTTTTTATTTTTCCTTTATGCGGAATCGTTTTCCCACCAGTTCATGACAGCTCGTGCTCTTGTACGAGGGTGACCCGCCAGAGGCAGTTGTACTGCTGTCCTGTGGCAGCGTCTATCCCAGTCACTGTAGTGTCGTGACAGAAGAGGGCAGCATGGCGTCATATTTCTCTTTTCTCCGGTAGTTCCTTCCACCGGGAGCTGCAGTCCCTGCTGCTGGTGGACAGCTTTGCCTCTGGCTTGAAGGTCCCAGAAAGGCGTTCTGTTTGAATGGGTGACTTGTGGAACAGAGGCGGTGTGAACAGCACCGAAGGGACTAGGCAGACAATACAGGGAGATGAGAGTAATGGGCCAAATAACCCCTTGAATATACAGGGCTTTCACGGGTTCATAACATGAGGGCCACATTTGCAGTTGCTGTGACAGTCACATGAATGATCTCTGATGTACAGGTGTCGAGGAGGCGCGAGTCTGCCGTTCTTTTCAGTCTCGGGCTGCTGCCAAGAGCCACCCCTTGGTTCAACTTTCTCCTGTTCTCTAGCAGGAGGGGTATTTCAATGCCATAAAATAAAAACTTGTTGCCGTTTTGTGCAACAGGTCACGTGTGTCTTGGAAGGTACCTTACACGGACACAATCTTAAAAATTATTTAATGCTTACATACAAGGGGGCTGATTTCACTTTGCAAAAGCAAACCTGTTGTTTTCCAATTCCAAAATGCTTGGCTCTGCATGTAGAGGTGTTCCTGTAGCCAACTTACTAATTAACATTTTAAAATATGAATTATTAAAGATGTTATTTAATGCTTTGAAGTGTATCTTGGATTTGAAGTACTGTATTACAGGCTGTATCAATAGTGAAGCTGCAAGATTGAAAGTTTATTTCAGGGAAGGGAGAAGAAAAAAGATTTTGGTACCTGAAAGAAGGAGAAGGTTTTTTTCTTTGTATATTTGAAATATTAATGTATTGTTTCTAGGATTACTTTCTCCAAGATTTTCTGAGACAAATCCTAGTAATTAAAATCTTCTTCTGTATGCAAATATGCCTTAGCGTAAGGGATATTGGTTTATTTGGTTTACATCTGCATGGAAGCATACTTCCTGTAGTTGCTTAAGTCGGGAAAGCAACAGATTGAATAAAACACCTTATCCCAGCAGGATTCTGGAGTGGAAGATCAGTAAACTTAGGGCTGAAATCCCCTTCATTGTTACATCTTAGAAAGATTCAAGAAGGGTAATCATACCTTGGTGAAAGCAGAGAAGCATCTTCAGAAAAAATACGGGTTTACATTTTCATTGAATTTAAGAACATATTCCTTTGTTTTTCCCTCTTAAATAAATTTAAAATGTATCTAATACACTTCCCAGTGTTCCGCACTTTTGATAGAGACAACGATAGCTGCATCAGTGTGGTGGAATGGGTGGAAGGCTTATCAGTATTTCTTCGGGGGACATTGGAAGAAAGGATTAAATGTAAGATTTATCTGTATGCTAGTATTTAGTAGTAATCATTGAATTCACGGCTATTAAATTACATGTTGCTTTTGTTATAATTTAGTAGTTACTTTTATAAAGTATTTGGTAATTGAAGAGTTTTCTTCTGTATAGTTCAATGCAATGAAACTGAGCTCTGAAATGGCTTCTCTGAGACAGAGGTTTTTCTGTGTAAACTGCCGTTATCATAGCTGCCACCTTATTTTATTGCTTACAAGAACTAGCATTTGAACTGAAGCTTGTTCTGCAGTATACAGTTTTGACAGAATGTATCTTTTTGTATTCACACACAAAATTAGAAAGAAGCAGATGTAGCTGAAGGGTGATTTTGGCTAAATAACACAGTCTCAAGCTAGCCAAGACCTGTGCCAACATTCATTTACTGGCACAATGGGGGGCACAGCAGCCGTTGCATCAATTCCAGCAGTTCTTCAGCTTGGAAGCATAGATTGAAAAACTGAGTCTGCTTGTAAGATGGTCATGACAACCTTCACAGTAATGATGGCGAAAGATAGGGGAGAAAAAATAGCAAAAACTCTAGAATTTTAAGAAGCAGAAGAAAAATAAAATAGGGCATGTGGAGGAAAAAAGTGTAATAGAAAAAGGAGAATGACAGCATGTTGTTTCCATAGTCTCTAGGTTGCAGCATCAACCATCCCTAATGCACTATATAAATCCATCTGGAAAGCAGCCTGGGGTGTCACAGCACTAGGATGTGTGCCCAGGATGTAATTCAGTATGTCAGTACAACTACAAGCAGTAAAATACGCAGCCCTGCTGTACGCACTATAGAATATACTAGTGCGTAGTGATACAGTGTTGTCTGTCCTAAGTGTATGCCAGTACAGTTTTTCACTGTAGACATAGTCTTTGTCAAGAAAAAAACCCACCTCTTGTGTTCCAAAACTGAAGAGTTTTGTTCGTTTGTTTAAATAGGTTTTGTGAAGGATAGTAAAGTTTATTATGGTCATAGATTTCTGATTCCAGGAAGGTAGAAATAATTGTAGGAGGAATTAGGCAGATACTTATACTTGTAATGTACTCTGTTACAGGGATATTCTCTTTGCATTAAGGGATACTTCAGTTGTCTTTTCCACGCTAGTACAGCTCATTCTTCCTTCTCCTTTACTTTTTGAACCCAGCTTCCAAAATAATGAGGATGTTTTGTAGGTGCAAAGTCCTTCTGATATAGACAGCGGGTCCCCACCATGGGAAATTGGGCTTCTAAACCAGAACCTTGTTTATATTCTAAATGGACAATTCTAGAGAAGTTAAGATCTGTGAGTTAGTATGGTTTCTGTGAACTGAAGATTATTTATTTGAGCAGAAATAGATTTTAACTATGAAGGGTAAATAGGCAATAATTGACTAGTATGTGTATCAAAATATGATACATCTATTTCATGTATAAATATACACGATAAATGTGGCTCAATTGATATGCTGTACAACATACAATTCACATTTTCTGTCTATAGGTAACAGACAGCTTTAATGGTGTGTGATATAGTTTGTGTGAACTTTAAATTGATTTATCTTTCAAAAAGACTGTTTTGAGGTTTACGACCTGAATGGTGATGGATACATTTCGAGAGAGGAAATGTTCCAAATGCTGAAAAACAGCCTTCTCAAACAACCATCAGAAGAAGATCCTGATGAGGGAATTAAGGACTTGGTAGACATAGCACTGAAGAAAATGGCAAGTACTTACTCATTGTGATACTTCAATGTCTTTCAAACATTCATTAACTGAAGCTTAGAACATTCCTATGAGGTAACAAAGTACTGTGTCTGATTTACAGTGGGATTCTGAGCCACGGAGTTAATTATATACATGAGATAAACAAGTCTCCTAATAAAGCCAGAAATATAATCCAGATCTAATGAGTCCCAGTCCAGTATCCTCACATGAAACTGTTAGTTTATTATGAGTTATAAACTTTATGTATGAACTAGCCTGTGTTTGTGTGCATACACACATGTGCATGCCCAGTCAAAACAAAAGCCCAGTCGGAAGTGGAAAATTCAAAAGCGTAAGCTGCATTTATTCCAGTGTTGGGCATCTGCAGTAGCTTTATTATTAAGTACATTTGTGTTTTATCAGTTGATCATGAAATGTCTTTATCCAATTTATATATTCTATTAGAATAGTAACCTCAAGGTTATTAAGGTAAAACTTGTCTTACTGTGATTAATCTAGGGTATCCAGATCAGCCAGGGACTGTGTTTCAACATTTTCATCAAATCAAGAAATACAACCCCCCCTCCTCTGGTGGTGGTCAAAAAAATCTCACTTAAAACCAGGTCTTGAATCTCAGCTCCTTTTATTTAACCCTGACTTTTCTATTTTTCAAACCCACCTCTTTTGCACACCTTCAGCTGAAAAGCCCATCTTACCCTTAGTTCTTGACAATGCTGAATCTAGCCTTACACAGAAGGCAAGCTATGACTTACTAATTTGTTCATCTTCAGAGCACCTACCTGCACAGCTTTCCTGCAGGTTGCATCCAAAATGAACACCTTCATGTTCTGGGCAGTTGATAAGTGGGCTATGCTAGTCCAAGCACAAGCACTATTCTCTAGACATAATGAATCTTCATATATATAAGAACATATTATAAACTAACCATGTACATAATCCTGTTTCAGCTTTTCCACGAGAACTTAATAAAGCTCTGGTACATGTTTGAAGAATGTCCAGATCTCATTTGGCTGCTGAGCAGTTGTCTGAGTAGGATATTGCTGCCCATCTCAAATAACTAAATGACTGTTAGATATCCAAAAATGCATTTGTGGAGTCCATCACTCAAAGAAGAAAAAATTACTCTTTGAGCAATTTGCCTGTAGGTACCATGGCATTGTGACCAAGCATACGTCCAGTGCAACTGCGCTTGACATTTGTCCATGCAATTCTCAGCTCAGCCTCTTCCCATGTTAGTTTTGCCTTTTCTGGAATTCTGTTAGCAAAGCCGTATGAGATATAAAAGGTGGAGCAAGCTCAACTGTCTGCCTTAGGTAGAGGCAAATGATACAGATCTTGTCTGAGCAGGGACTGATGGCCCAAATAAAAGGATTTTTGCATACAATCAAACTAAGAATAGGATCCATGTCAATAAAACACCTGTTAAACAAAAATACAATTACTACAAGTCATCATCCTTTGCTGAAGAGTTCCCTTCCTTTTGTAGGACTATGATCATGATGGCAAGCTTTCTTTTATGGACTTTGAAAAAGCAGTCAGAGATGAAAATCTTCTGTTAGAAGCCTTTGGACCGTGTTTGCCAGACATAAAGGTATATCAACCTTGAGTTTAAAAAAAATGTGCAGTACTTGCTATACTATTGGTGAGGAGATGCACATATTATGGTATTAACTGTCATTACATGGGGCCTGCTGAAGTCAATTGATAAATGCTTCAGTTGTGAGATATGCATATGCTGAGTTCCCATCTACCTTTCACAGCACCAATGTTTCCTTATACAGTTAAATGCTGGTACCAGAGAATGAGACCACACCGTTACTCAATGTTTGTCTGTCCTGGGTCAGCAATATAATGAATCATCCTCAATGAGCATCCTCTCAGACTAAGAAAATGAGACCGTTCTGTTGAATTGTTTATCCGAAAGCTCTCCAAGAATACAACTTTTATTTTTCTTTCTTCAGTGCCACTGGCAACACTGCCATCACCTCACTTACAGCCCCTTTTGGGAGAGGCTGCTAGTTTTCTGAAAAAAATACCTTGAGAGTGTTCTTCATTTCAGAGTGTGGCACTGGTGTTTTTTAATTACATCTAACTGGGCTTTATTTATTAGCAATACATCTAATTCAATTCAGATTTTTATTTTTTTTAAGATGGTAATTTAGAACATGCTCATTTCCTCAGTGTTAAGTTCAACTGTGGAGAGCATTTCTGCTCTATAATAAAGAATAATTTTTTTTTTCTGATCTAGTAATCACTATTCTATTTGAACTGTGTGTCATTTTAAAATACTGAAAGCTGAAATTCATGCAGCGATTCCTAGAAACAGAAAACTTGTGTAAGACTGCTGAGAACACAGCAAGTTTTCATTTGCTGGAAACCTACACTTCCTGCCAGCTCACCTACCTGGTAGGCTGGAGGACAAGAAAGGGTCTTGTAGCCATGATTGCAGGCTGTATTACATCACATCAGCTGGAAAGCAGCTGTTTCCAAAATGCCAGACTTCTCCTGACAGGCTCTCAAAAGACTTTCAAGGGTTTGGGAGAACCCAGGTAAGTACTCTGTTTTTTACACCAGTGGAAAGGCTTTAAAAAGTTTCTGAACAGATTTATGTTCACTCATCAGCATAGAAAAATGACTTGCTTTCTGTCAGTGTTGGTGATAAACCAGATATACAATTCAGGCTAATCATGGCAAGAGGTTGCAAACTCAGCTTGTTTCTTGCTTACAGTATTTGTGCGGTCTGTTCTGTACCCTACCCAACTGTTGCCTTTTTACTAGGTCTCTAGTTTCACTGTTAAAAGAGAACTCTATTTACATGTACTTTCAAGTCCTAAAAGCAATAATTTCAGCTATGAGCTTAACATGAAGAAAACCTATAAATTACTAGATTGCCTAGTGGGGTTATGTTGGGGAACTTTAATTGTACCCCTTGACACAAATTAAACACTCATTTGTACTTCAATATATTTTTAAAAAATGTAATGAACTTATTGGATAAAATCCTACCACCATAAGCGGTTCTACAAGGAGTCTGCAAACATGCACCACAAGCCGATTCCTTGTATATGCTTGCACCAGCACCAATCCTGTGAGCGTCAGCGTGGGGCACCTTAGCCCAGTGTTGGGTTCATCCTCCCAGCTCCAGTTCTGCTGCCCAAAGGTGGCCCCTGAGTGCTCGATCCAGGACTATTACAACACAGTGCTGCAGATACTTCTCTCATCACCAAGGGAAATTTCACTCCTTTACATTAAGTGATCTCAGTCTCTGCTGTTCCTGGTTCCAGCCGGTCTAACTCATTCTGCAGCTAGGCCTTCTCACCCTCCATGCCAGATCATTCCTTGGTCACACATTACCACTGCTGAGCAGTTACAATTTGAGTTTCCCCTTCACTTACAACTTCTGAGTGTTCTCACTGGTCTCTCAGTGATGACATCATTAACACTATGGAATTTACCTTTTCTAAGCTAAAAAGCAAGAGGTAGCCTAAGTGTGAGGACTGTCACTGCTTACACATTTCAGTTTAGCACCTTTTCCAATTAAATTTAACTCCTTCAGTTAAGTGAAAATTAATTTTTTTTTTTTTAAACAGAGCAGTATGGCGTTTGAACAGAAGACTTTCCAGGAAGCTCGTAAACTGTAACTCCCAGTGGAATACTGCTGTAAGAGGTTTTTTCCTTCACCGTTCTTCATGGTATAGTAAAAGTAGGAGCAACTTGAAACTGTTACTAAGTTTCAGTATTCCTTTACTGTAAAAGGTACTGAATAAATAGAATTTACTTCTGTTACTCTACCTAAATACAGTTCTTCAATGAGTTATTAAATATGTTGTAGTACAAGGTACACAGAACAAGATGCAACAATATTATTATACTGGTTTGTTCATTCCAGGAAACAAATAGACACAATTTTTAACAGGGAATTGCTTGGAAATACAGTATAAAATAGTTTTATTTTTAACATAAAAAAAAAAATAAGTATTTTAAACTACATCCTTTAAAAAAATTACTGTTGGAAGATGCTGCCAGCAGTATCTATATTCTTCTTCTCTGCTTTACAAGTGGTTTGGCTGAGCTACTCTCTGGCTTTTGCACAGAAGTTCTTGAAACAGAATCTGCTACCTAAATTGAGGAGGGGGAAAAAAAAAAATCTTAGTAAACTGTAACCACTCCTTTTTTATGCTAGTTTTAGAGTAAGGCCATGTCTCTAACATTTGAGTATTGGGAGGGATGTATTACTATAATCACACTTGTATTGAATTTTCCTGCAGAAGGGAAAAAAACCATAACCCCAAATGCAGCATTAAACATAAGAGAAAATTTATTTAGAAAATAAAAGTGTTAGCAGTATCATTTTTGTATTTTAACCACAGAAACTGATTTCAGATACTCAGTGATAGAGTGTTACATATCTTAGCACCCCTCTCCCTACCAGAGGTGTTTTCAAAGTAAGGTTTAGTATGCTTTTTAAACTCAGGTATTCCAGCAAGAAGAGAGAAGGGGAAGGAAAAACATGTGCTTTGGCACATATTTTACAAATATATTTAATATAAGAGGTGCTTATTTATCAGTTTGACTGGAGATAAGCTCTTCCAAATCAGTCTAATTAGTCATAGTCAAGGGAGCTTTTTCGTATCTTAATTTAAATGGAAAGTTGTATCAGGAGTGTTTGACCTGCTGATTAATATCTTCCATAAAAGGTTATAAAGCTTAAGGCATGCTTCTCGGCATAGAATGTGTGGTTCTGTACATCTTTTAATGCCATAACAAGTGTTGGAGCAAAATTACATTGAACTCTGACTTTATTATTTTTTACTCCCTTTCAATCAGAAACCAGATACAAGTACCACACTGGCGTCAGCAGGACTACCTGCAAAGTTACAGTGCCACATGGAAAACAAGTGTAGTTTACTAAAAATCATTTAGGACCATGCACTGACATTTATACTTTCTGAAGTGTAGTGTAAGAGGAATGGAGTAGAATGGCCTGCAATATTCTGTGTTAATAAAAATATTTAATAAAAAATAGTAAGAATGCTAGCTTTAAGTGGCAAATAAATTGATAATACTGAATAAATGATGAATTAAGTTATTTTAGGGTCTCTATTTTTATGGATAACAAGCACATAATATATATGTTTGAAAATGAAAATATCAGAACTTTCAGAATCCATACCTCTTTCAGTTTATTTCGAATTAATGTAGCTGAAGTATTCAGTGAATCATCATCCATATCCACTTTAGGTACTTCTGGTAGCTGTGGACCAATAATAACTTCAGTACTGTCCACACTTGTTCCAATGAGGGAAAACTTGTTACCTTCTTCCCTCTTCCTCTTACGTTCCTGCAGGTGAGTTGTACGAGGCATGAACCTATCAACTCCATTATCAATCAGAACCGTTCTTTGCATTAAGGAAGTTGGTGGAGTATGTCCTCCTGGATGTACACTTAGAGTTAGGGATGTGTTTTGACCAAAGTACCCAGAAGTTTCAGCACAACTGTTATCATACTGGGGAAATGCCAACAGGCTCTGATTATGATTCCCTGATGCACAGCCTGTGTTGTGGGATACCCCGTGAGAACTTGTAAAGCAGGATGGATCCCAGTTACTGGCTGCACATGATCCTGATGTACTCCATGGACAGTCACGCTCAGAGTTCTTTGAGACTGTCTTCTTAGGTCCCTCTACTTTCTTTAACAGAAAGCACTCTTTAAAACAACAAAAAAGTAGCTTCACTATTATGTCATTATTAGTTCTAACACATAAGAAAAAACATTTAATACAAATACAGAAGTAATACCAGTGATATTTCATTCCCAGCGACTTTTCTGTGATTCTTTTTTCCTAAGTGGCACCTCTCAACTGAAGCTTTTCAGCCTAGTCCCTCTGCAGATTTGTGAGGAATGCCCAAGTGGAAGTATTTCAGCAGTTTTGAGAACACAAGGAAAATATTTCTGATGTTGCAAATCAGAAATTTTTACTTCCAGTTATGATTTCAAGGATAACCTGTCTTGCAACATTGAAAAAACAGGTGTTTTTTCATGTTAAAAATCAGTGGTTTTATTCCTTTAAAATACCCTCATACAATGAATAATGATATCAGAGTACACAAGCACAAGAAAGGAGAAGCCTGTGCTCAGCAATTTGCTTATTTCTCAGCTTGCCCATCCTTCAGTTGTTGAAGGTTCTGGTATAGTCACCTTCCTGACAAAACTGTCCCTCTGGGCATGCCTGAATAAGCAGGAACAAGGGTGAAAAGATGATCCAAAATTTCCTGCCAGTGCTTGAAGCTTCTGATAACATTTTGAAAAGAAGAGAAGGAGGTACCTCATTATTAAAGTTTATGCATTTTTTTATTTTAGTGCTAACCAAAACTGAGAAGTTGCTTTGAAAGAGATACAGCCCTCTAAATATTGAAAGATGTCTCTGTTCTGCTGCAAACATACTTGAAATGCATCTTTAAAACAGACAGATAAAGCATTTTCTTTAATGGGCTCCTTAACCAAAAACCCACCCACCACTGAAATGAGATATTAAGATTCTGTAGTAAATTTAATTACAAACCTCTTTGATTTGTTGCTTTTGCTATATACTTTCTTCTGTCCTGCAACTTCTCCCGAGTTTCTTGGACTGTTTCAAATTCTGGAGCATAGCACACATGCAGCAAACTACCAAAGAAACTTCGTTCATCCATTTTTTTCTTGGCCACCCTGAAGGGAATTAAATTGTATTGGCAAAACTGAGGATGTTACTTAACAGATTGTAAATAAAGAAGGTTTAAAATATTAAGACTGCAAGAGGCAGATATTGCCCTGTCTAATACCTTGCACATTGCAGTTTTTGGAATTTTATCAGATAAACTTCAGTAAATTGCTCTGCTGGATATTCATCTAGAGCATGATATTCTTCAATGGCACCATATAATGCAAATTGTTCAATTAATTCCTTCATAACGCCTAACGCAGGAACTCCTTGTATTAGTAAATAACGAGATTCCAAGTTGATAGTATAAACCTGGGGGAAAAAAAAAAAGAGTATGCTAAAATGTTCATATTCTTGCTTTACTGCAAAAGTAAGGAATTTTGTCTGTTTGCTGTTGTTCCTCAGATCTTCTCAGGATGCTGAAAATCCATCTGTGCTCTGTTTTGACTTTGGACTCTTGCAGGAGCAGTAAGTGCACAATTATCTGGGACATCTTCATCACCGAGCAGGAACTGAACTCAAGCTTCTTACTCAAAGTAGAACACAAATTAGAGTTGGCTCTTCTGCACCAGGTCAGAGTGCTGCCATTTTCTGAGTAAAATCTCTTACGTCTCTGGCCAATTTCCTCGCGAGACTGACTAGTACCCAGTTAATATAAGGCACTGTCAAACTAAAGACAAAACCACCGAAAAACCCGTCTTGTTCACGGGCAGAGAGGTCACACAGGTGAAACACAGGGAGGAAAAAAAAAAGGTACCACAATTCCTTGGGGCAGATGATGTGTGCGCAAAGCTGTCTCCTCACTACAGTGATCAAAGAGTGTATGTTTTTAAGACAGACAGATACAAGTAAGATGCTGAGAGAAACAAGGTCTTCTCCCAGCAGGTTATAAAACAAACAAACCACTCTTTTTGTGTAACGACTGTCACGTAACACAGACTCCAAGGAAAGTTCTGTGACAGCTCACTACATACAATAGGTAGCTAAAGCGTAAGATCAAAGGAAATTCATTCCGACTTTGTTAAAAAAAAAACAAGACAACAAAACACCAAACACATTTAGACTGCATGGGTTACACATATTTCTCAAAAAACAAGTGGAGGACAAAGAGGGAACCACTCAGGAAACCAGCTTTCAAGCTGCTATCGTAACAAACAGCCTCTGCAAACAGGTCACATAAATTGTTCCTGTGATAGCAGCTTACTCCTGCCTGCTCTCTTTCTCAGGTCAGGCCTAGCAGGTGCCATTACAGCATGCTATACGTTAACTGCCCCCACAAAAAGCAAATGCAGCATTTTTGGTGCTGTAATGAGCGGTTCCTGCTGTGCAGTAGGCAAGGCCCCGCACGCGAGTCCTGCCGAGTTCAGCCGTGTCGCGCGCCCAACCGCATGGTTTTATACTTTGCGCAGAACTAGCCTACTTGTGCTACACGCGTTTCTAAGCCATTAATTGACAAAACGCAACGTGGGAGTTACTAGATTTACCAGACCCAGCTCCAGCTGTGCCTCCCGGCGCCGACTGCCTGCCTCGGCCCGCGCCCCGCCGCACGTCGGCGGCACGGAGAGAAGAGGAGCGGAGAAACGCCCAGAACGGGGACAAAGCGCTAACACGGACGGCAGTCCAGGCGGCGACACAGCTGCAGCCGGAGGAACGGAGGCAGCTCGCCAGCCTTGCTGCCTGCCCCCGAGGAGCCAACAACCCCGCGGCCGCTCCAGCGCCGCCCACCAGCGCGGAGGACGCGGCGCGCCGGAGCCGGAGCCGGGGCCGGCCCGCTCGGGTCCCGCTCCAGGACGGCGGACCCGCGCCGCG